CGTGGATGCGAACCAACGACAACTACACCAGCATCAATGTGGCTGCCCAGGAGCAGGACAAGGGCTCGGTACTGGCGTTCTATCGCCTCGCATTGGCGGTCAGGAAGAAACACGATCTGCTAGGCAAGGGCGAGTTTCGACTGGTGGGAAGGGAGCACGGAAAGCTGTTCATGTACATCAAGCTGCCCCAGGGAAGCAGCGAGGATGAGAAAGGCGAAAGGGCGTTCGTAGTGCTCAACTTTAGCGGCGAGATGCAGACGTACACCGTACCTGAGGAAGCGGGTGGCGAAGAAGCCAAGGTGGTCCTCGATAGTTCAGTGGATGGAAAGCGAGGTTCACTCGGCCCATGGGAGGGGAGGATGTACATCTACCACGCTTAGACAAACGATGACGGCAATCTCGCCCGAGGATGGGCAAATGAAGCGGCACACAACCTCGTGATGACTGCCAACAACGCCGTCCCGACAGAAAGTACGATCACCTTCGATACGCAGTTTGGATCGGGAGATGCCGTTGGTGGCAGCTGTGTCGGCTCTCCAAAACGACGAAACTTTCAGGGCCTAAATCCGAGAGCGGCTGTCAAAACGCGATTTGCGGCGACGCGTCGGAACTTCGAGCCGTCGGTCAACTGCTTTGGCTCTTCAACTGCACCGTCGGAGGAGGCGGCGGTCGGAATCGACTTTTGTCTCTCTTCCGCTCGCTAAAATCGCCGTTTGGGTCTGAATTTTTTGGTCTGTTTGCTGCCTCACCGGTGGCAACTTCTTGTCACCCCAAGACGGTCCGAGCACGATTCATGATTGCACGTCCAATCAGCCGACAGCTCAGCGACTTCATGCGGACCGCTGCCGCCTGCTCGAGCACGCCATCCACTTGGCCGCTGACGGAATGTCCCACCATCGCAAACTCGTACCTTTTCACTTTTCTCATGTCTTGCCTGTGCCTGACAGCCGCGTCGCCCTGCACGCCATGGCTACAGCCGAGCTCGGCCACATGGCCTCCAGCTCGGACTCTCTCTTCCTCTCCCGAATCCTTCAAATACGATGTCTTGACTGAGTTCTTCCGCCATCGAAAGGCGTCTTCTGTGTCTGCTCCATTTCTTGCCGCAGCTTCATAGTGCGGACTGGCCGTCTTCACCATGTCCAATCTCAATAGCGGCAACAGCGATGTCGTCGAGCATGCGCCTCAGTCGCGTCCAGTCATGGCCACCAACCTCTCGACTGCTTCCAGCGTCGGTAACAAGGACGCCGAGTCCGAGCTTTCCAAGGTGGGATCGCACACCACCACCACCAGCACTCACCCACCCATCGACGATGCTGCGCTGCAGCAGGTGCGTCTGCGAAGAGCGCTCAGCGAGCGCACCATCCAGATGATCGCTCTCGCAGGCACCATCGGCACCGGTCTCTTCCTCGGCAGCGGCAAGGCGCTCGCCACCTCGGGTCCGCTCTCCATCCTCCTCTCGTACTCGATCGTGGGCGTCGTCGTATACCTCACCATGGTCGCCATGGGCGAGATGTCCACCCTCGTCCCCGCTTCCGGTGCTTTCGGCGTCTTCAGCACGCGCTTCGTCGACGAGGCTTTCGGATTCTCCGTCAGCCTCAACTACTGGATCAACGACGCCGTCTCCGTAGCGAGCGACCTCACCGCCTGCCAGATCCTCCTCAAGTTCTGGGTTAGCGACGACGTCTTTCCCGGCTGGGCCCTCTCGCTTATCTTCCTCACCTTCCTCATCGCTGTCAACGTGATCTCGGTGCGCGGTTACGCAGAGCTCGAGTACCTCCTCTCGCTCCTCAAGATCTGCACCATCATCGTCTTTATCATCATCGGTATCGTCGTCAATGCCGGCGTCAACCAGACCCTTTCCTACCTCGGTTTCAGGTACTGGACCATCGGAGACGCTCCCTTTGTCGGTGGATTTGGAGGCTGGGTCTCGTCCTTCGTAACGGCGTCGTTTGCGTTCGGCGGTACAGAGTCGCTCTCCATCACGGCAGGTGAAACGAGGAACCCGTCCAAGACCATCCCAAAGACCATCCGAAACGTCTTTTGGCGTATCATCATCTTTTACATCCTCGCGCTCTTCATCATCGGTATCGACATCCCCTACAACATGCCCGGCCTCAAGTCAAAGTCCGCCGCCGTCTCGCCCTTCACGCTCGTATTCCAGCAGGCGGGCAGCCGCGGTGCAGCGAGCTTCATGAATGCCGTCGTCATGACCTCGGCGCTGTCGGCGGGAAACCATGCGCTGTTTGCGGGCACGCGCGTGCTCCACGGCATGGCCACCACGGGTCAGGCGCCCAAGTTCCTCGGCACGGTGGCCAAGAGCAGCCGTGTGCCCTGGGTGGCGCTCGCGTGCACGGCGAGCATTTCGGGCCTCTGCTTTGGCTCGAGCTACATCGGCGCAGGTGACCTGTGGAATTGGCTGCAGAACCTCGTGGGCGTTTCCAACCAGCTCTCATGGGCCGCCATCGGTGTCTCGTCCATCCGATTCCGCAAAGCGATCATCAAGCAGGGCAAGCAAAGCTCGCTCGTCTACAAAAACTGGACGCAGCCCTGGGGTCCGTACGTCGTAGTCATCGCCTCAGTGCTCATGATCCTCGTCCAGGGCTGGACGGCGTTCCGACCGTTCAACGTGTCGGACTTTTTCTCGTACTACATCGAGATCGGCTTCTTCGTCGTGGCCTACGTGGGCTGGAAGCTCTGGAAGCGCACCAAGCTCGTGCCTATCGAAGAGATGGATCTGTACACGGACACGGTGCAGTACGAAAAGGACCTCAGGCGAAGGAGGCGAGACCTCATCCGCGACGGTGCGGGCGACCAGCTGCCCGTGCTGGTCGAAGACGACGAAGAGGCAGACGACGAGGAGCCTCGCGAGGAGGAGAAGAGCACGAGCGCGGAGCCGGTCGACAAGAAGCAGAAGGCAAAAGCATTTGTCGGCAGAGCAAGCCAGTACCTGTGCTTCTGAGCACACAGTGTCACAGTCACGAGCGCATTCATACCCATCTGTATTCTAATGCCAACTTCATTCGCAACACACCGTGTGCGAGCGTGCGCCCGGAGCATCTGCGTCTTGTTGCAGCAGCGCGTTGAGCTTGGTCTGCGTCGATGGGCACTGTGCCGAGCTGGTGCGACTCGCCCGATCGCACGCATCGGCGTTGAGCGTGAAGGTGGCGAACTTCCAGTCGCAGACGAACTTGCCGATGCCCGCGCCGAGGATGATGGAGAGGATGATGTAGCCGTTGAAGTACATGGCGAGCAGCATGATGATGTACGCCAGCCCGAACGTGACGGCGTGCAGCACGGCGCGTGCCAGCTGCTGCAGCGGCGTGACGCGGATCACCACCTGACGGGTCGTGGCTTCGGGAGGCAGATCCGACTCGAGCACTTGCTTGCGCTGCAGCAGCTGGCGCGATAACGCCTTATCGAACTCGACGCCGGCACGGCGGAGCGCTTCGAGGCAGACCACCATGAGCACGACGCCGATGCACGACACCGCAAACGTGGCTTTGGTCGTCACGTGCCATGACGAGGAGAGGAAGCCTGGCAAAAGAAAGGTGAAGGTGAGTTGGATTTCGGGAGAAGCGCAAGATGATTCGAGCGATACCTACAGGCATCGATGGTGTACCAGTTCCACAGCATCGAGATCTTGCATGAAGCACCACCCATGCCGCCGTCCATGCCTCCCATGCCTCCCATGCCGGAATGGTTCATGTTTGAAAGCTATCGATCGGGGTGAGATGGAAGTGATCAGATGGGGCTACGAATCGAGCGAGCGAGGTGTGACGAGTTTCCGATGGTGGCAAGGGAGAAAAAGCGAAGGCGTCGGGGTGTCGCCCTACGGTATATAGTTGCCTCAGTAGGGTTGCTCGACAACGAGCGGTAAGTTTGGTGCGGCGGAACAAGCTTGGTTGCACAATTTTCAGCATTCGTCACTGCTCTATCTTCGCATGCCCATTGGCGCCGCGGCCGCGGTCAGGCCATTCAACATGACGGCACAAGAATCTACGGAGGCGACCGGCTCCTTTGTGCCTGACGCCAAGAAGTCTAGCTCGGAGCCTTTTCCCCTGCACGCACAGCTGAACCGCATTGTTCCACGGCGCGTTTCTGACAGCTCACAGACCCTGCTGAGCTCTACTTCGCAAACCGAATTTCTGGTATGGGCCTCGTCTAGCAAGCGAGGCAGCCCTGGGGTTTTTCGAAACCTTCCCCTTCGGAGCCTTTTTTGCACGTCGTCGCTCGTTTGGCAAAGGCCCCGAGTGAACGACAGGGTCGTCTGGCGATAAACTCCGTGCTTGGTCGCCCGTCAGGAAGGTTCCGGGAAGGAAGGATTCGAACAGGAACGTCCCGAACCAATCGTGGTGTCAGCTTTGCATGGACGCGTCAGGCAACCGCTTCTTGGCTTTGCAAGTACTGCTACAACAAAGTTTTCGGGTGCCCTGGCATACGTGGTTACAGAGGCGCAGGACTCTTTTCCTTTGTCTGCTACCACTCATCGTCGCTGCGACTACATAAGCCGGGGCACGACAGCTTCATCCTCTCGACTCCTTTCCTTCCGCAAAAATACCAGCCTCCATTCTGAAGGGCTTTGATAGGTCAAGATGTCGTTCGACGCCATCATCCGGCAAGCGCCCAACCTTGTGACTCGTCATGTTCAGAACTATTCCGAGGCTGCGGTGCTGCAGCCGCACTGGGGCTATCTCGACCGAGCGCTGCCCTGCACGAGTGGCGCAGCCGTGTGCGCGTATCTCGATCTCGTATACAGCGCCCACGACAGAGGCATGATCTACGCCGCCGTCTTTTGGCTACTCATTCTAGCCATCCTTTTCATCTGGGCTATCGCTAGGTGGTGTCGCCGATCTCTCCAGGCCGTCCCCATCCGAAAGGCCGACAAAGAGCGGGCGGGCGACAGTGTCGCGTCTCCACAGTCCACCATCCAGAAAGCGTCCAAGGCCACCACGGCCGCATTCCGGTCTTACCTTTTGCCCAACTGCAAAGGCGTCTACTTCTTCAATAGGGTGACAAGGGCACAAGTCGTCGTGCTGGCCATCATCTCTGCATACATGCTCATCTTTTCCTTCGTCGGCATGACGTATCGCTCATGGTCAGTGCCCACCAAGGGCAGCAGCAAGAACACCATCCGATCCTCTCTGGGACCTTTCGCAGATCGCGTAGGTGTGCTGGCCTTCGCGCTTACGCCGTTGTCGATCCTGCTTGCTAGTCGCGAGTCGCTGCTCTCGGTCTGCACGGGCCTGCCGTACCACCATTTCAACTTCCTCCATCGCTGGGTCGGGCACATCATCTTTGCTCAGTCGGCCATCCACACCATCGGTTGGTGCATCATCGAAATCAGGCTCTACCAGCCACAGCCAGCCAAAGCGCTGCAGCTGGTTCAGGAGACGTACCTCATCTGGGGCATCGTGGCAATGACGGCACTTCTGGCACTCTGGCTGCTCTCCACGCCCTGGTGTCGCCGCCGACTCGGATACGAGTTCTTCCGCAAGGCGCATTATGTGCTCGCCATGCTCTTCATCGGTGCATGCTGGGGCCACTGGCAACACCTCAAGGTCTTTTTGTTGCCGTCCTTGCTCCTGTGGGGTGCCGACCGTGCACTCCGGCTGCTGAGGACCGCTTGCATCCATTACGGCGTGCTTCAGGATGGATCGGTCGGATTCAGCACCATCCGCAGCTCGTTCCAAGTCTTCGACGATGCACAGCACGGCGATGTGGTGAGACTCGACTTCGAGGTGCCGCACAGTGGCGATGGGTGGAAGGTCGGGCAGCACTTCTTCCTCACTTTCACAGAAACGAGCATCTGGCAGTCGCATCCCTTCACACCTCTCAGCACGCCTGCATCCGTCAACCGGCGCGTCAAGCATTCGTACCTCATCCGAGCAAAGGGAGGCGAAACCAAGAAGCTGGCAGCAAAGCTGCGACTGAAGGCTGCAGGAACCGATTCGACAGGTGTCATCCTGTCGGGACCGTACGGTGGCGAGGTGCTCGACACCAAGCAGCTGACCGCAGCTAATGTCCTCTGCGTCTCGGGTGGAACCGGCGTAACGTTCACCCTGCCTGTCCTGACCGCTATTTCTCGGGACCCTCTGTATGCGCATCGCAAAGTCGAGCTCCTTTGGGCAGTCAAGCGTCGTCAAGACATCGCGTGGATTCAAGATGAACTCTTGGCCTTGCTCAAGCTCGCTCCAAAGGTGTCCGTGCGCATCTTTATCACGGAGCCCTCACAGCCAAGTTCTAAGTCAATGGGCCACGGATCGATCGAGAAACACCAGTCGGATAGCTCTTCGCTTCCTGGGGAAGGCACCTCCCCATCGTTGGACGAGTCAGTCGACGAAAAAGATGCTGGCGTCGATCCGATCCTCTTACAGTGCATCGCGGGCTACGCTCGTCCTTCGCTCGAGGACGTTATCCCCGCCTTCCTGCAAGAGATCGACAACGGCGCGACAAAAGTATACGTCAGCGGACCCGATTCGATGACGTGCCAGGCACGGTCCATTGTGGCTGCGGCAAATTCGCCGAGCAAAGTACTCAAGGGAAACCAGTCGTGCGACGTCGAGCTCATCACCGACGAGCGATTCGACTGAATCACGCGGTCGCCGCACGCAGATCTTAGACAGTCGCACGTTGTGCTTCATGTACAATTGCATTCATTCTAGTGTGGACAGTGACAAAGGAGCGATCGTGCGCTTATTTTCGGCCAAAGAAAGTTCCGGGATGGTTCCATGCCTTCTTAGCAGCCTCTGTCGCGGGGGTGCCGCTCTCCAAGTCGGGCACCTGGGCAGCAGGCAGATCCGAGACGATCTTTGCGTCAGATCCGTTGTTGGAGGCCGAGTCGTCTTCGAGCAGAGGCGCCGCCTGCTCGTCTTCGGGCTCTGCCGGGAGGATCGAGTTGAGTAGAATCGCCAACAGGCTCGAGATGAGGTAGGGCTCTTCGACAATGAGCACGATGGCCTGAATCAGACCTTTGAGCCCGGTGTTGCTCCCAGAGTAGGTGAAGAAATACGAGAACCAGCTCGGCACGGTGAGGCTGGCCAGACCGAGACTCATGCCGCTCGTTGCGATGAAGCGCGCGCGTCGGTCCCATTTGGCGTACGCCATGATGCGGATACCGGCCACGGCGACCGAGCCAAAGAGGAAGGTGGTGAATCCGCCAAGCACGCTGGAAGGCATGGCGACGAAAAGGGATGAGAACTTTCCGATGACGCCCGCGAGGAAGAGAATGGCGGCGCAGACGTAGCCTGCGGTTCGCGACGCATTGCGTGTGAGCGAAATCACGCCCGAGTTCTGCGAGAAGGTGGTGAGAGGAGGCACCATAGCGACGCCTGCCAGAGTGGCGGAGATTGAGTCCGCCAGCATGCCGCCCTGAATGCGCGACTCAAACTCGGTGCCCTCCATTGGAAGGCGAGAGGCGTCGCAAGAAGCAGTGACGTTACCGACGGTCTCGGCGACGATGACGACGTAGGCAGCGAGAAGCGGGAGGATGAGCTCGGGCTTGATCGAGAGGGGGAAAGTCTTTGTCCAGAGGAAGGATCCTGCAGGTGCATTGTGCATGAGCGTCGTGTTGAAGTAGCCCGTCGCAGCAGCAACGATCATTCCGACGACGAGACCGACGAATACGGATGCCGACTTCAGGAAAGGGCTGCCAAAGATCTCGCACAAGATGATGGTGATGAAACTGGTGAAGCCGAGTCCGATGAGCGATGCGGAGCCCCAGAACTGCATGCGGCTTCCGATCTTGCACTTGATAGCATGGTTGGTGGCGCACGGAGCCGAGCCACCGGCCCAGTTGGTGATGCCGGACTTGACGAGCGAAGCGCCGATCAGCGTGAGCATCATTCCGACAATGAGCGGAGGGAAGAGCTTGCGGATAGTCTTGGGAGGGATGAACGCCATAGCGATTGAGATCAAGCCACAGAGACAGCAGGTGCCCAAGAATGCACCCACCGCCTTTGGGCACGGTAGCTTGACACCGTTGGCACCCGTAGGGCAGTAGCCATTCGCATAGCTCTGTGCGAAGAACGAGAGCGCAATCGAAATGGTGGCAAAGCTCGCACCGGTGACGCTGACGATGCCCGTACCGATGTAGTACTTTGTCTTGAAGATGCGGTTGCGCGAGACCTGGAGGGCCGTACCGAACGCGCACCAGATCAGCGTAGATGCGATGAGGAACTGCGTATCGTCTTGACCCAGGTTAGCGCCGCTGGAGCTGCCGATTAGCAGCGGAGGGGTCACAACTCCACCGAGCATGGCAAGCGCGTGTTGCAAGCCAAGTAGGAAAGCGAGAAAGATGGGAAGACGGGCGTTGACGGAGTAGAAAGGCAGGCTGGTCGTGTCGGGCTTGCACAGGAATGGGACGGTCGGAGTGAAGAGCGCGACATAATTGTGGTCGCCGAACCAAGCATCTTTAGTGCCGAGCGCGCGTACGCCGCGCTTGACCTTGCCGACAAAGGAACGGGCAGGAGGGTCGGGCAGAGTGGCCAGAGAGCCCTCGTCGACGGTGACAGCAGGCTTGGCCTCCATCGTGGTTGTCTCTTTTGCGGGATGAAGAGAGGAGAATGGGGTGATGTAGAGATCTGAAGCGGGATGAGCAAGCACAACCGGTGGAAAGATGTCTTGGTGATGTTCTTATACAATCAGGACAGCTATCGGCTCACTCGAGATGGACACCGAGAGATGTCATGCAAGCGCGCACGCATGTGCATCAACACATGGCTAGCCGCCGCACGGTCGCGTGCACACCCGAGACACTACATTTGTCCGCTTCTTCTGACAGCGCAGCACCTGTGACATCCGGTACGAGCGTGTACAGGTCTTGGCATTGATCGAGCCCCGCTGTGAGGGTCCGTGAGGGTCCGGAGAAGACCGAGATCGCGTTCAGCAAAAGGAGCAGGCAGGCAGGCCATGGACTGCCAGGCATGCTGCTTCGCGGGCGTGGGAAGAAGACGGGGAAGCGATAAGGAGGGGACTAGAAAAGGAAGAGGCAGAGATAACGAAGGCGGCCTCCTCCTTCGGTGCCATGTGGCTGGTCCATAGGCTTGTCATACGAAGTTTCGAAGACAAGGGAGTGGAAGTGGCACTCGTGTTCCTGAAAGCCGTGTGGGGATTTGCTGAGACTTGATCAATTTCAAGGCTCGGGACGGGCTTTGAGGCGCGTGCTTGCGGCTGTCAAAAATGGCCGCCGATAAGAAGCCAAGTGAGGCTTGCCGTTATCGCACACGTGGAAATTGGCGGCGACCAGAAGCGCTCGAGACTCCGTTTCTTCCGCCTTGGTGATGTCCGCTATCTCAGGACCTTGCAAGTTGCGAGCCCCCGCGGTGAGTCCGAGGGGGCAACGGCCGGGTTTCCGCCCGGTCTAGACCCTACGGCCGGGTTCCCCACGCTGACCTTGGCCTAAAAGTCCAGCCAGTAGCCGCCGATGCAGGGCTACCTGGGATCTCGGCCGTGCCTCCTGGCCCTACCGCGGCCATCTCCGGTGATGCTTCCGCTTACTGGAGGCTCCGCACTCACATTGATCCTCCATAGCGGGAAGATGAGCTCAGACGACCGGGGTGATTGTCTGCTATCACTCATGACGGACCACACCATTCTGGACTTGCATTTTTGGCTTTCACATTGAACGAAATCATGCAGGCTTGCTGAGTTAGAGCTCGAGGTGAAGCGGCGTGTGGGCGACAGGCTCAGAACCTACGCGGTCATCTTCCGAGTACTCGAAACGTACAAGCTTCTGCCAGTTGGAAACTGGCTCGCACGTCTTGACCCGCGCTTCGCCCACTTGCGTCCTCTCGCATCCAACCGCTGCGAGTGCATTGGCGCAGACGATGATCAAAGGCAAGTGTCAGTCTTTGAATGCTATGAATGTGCGTACCGGAGATTCCGGGGCGACTTACGGCAAGGAGCAGATTCGTTGAACTGGTGCTGGAAGAATGAATCCGTCTCGTGTGTGAGGATGTTTCCAAGCCTGCAGAACGCGAAAAGAGTCAGATTTGTGAAAGCTGGGATGCCGGGACCGTGGCTACTCACATCAATGTGGCGTGACCGAAGGAGTAGCTCTTCTCCAAGACCAAGTTGGAAGGAATGTAGATCTGGTTCCTGCCGTCTGTACCCGCCAGACAAAGACCGTCAGCAATCAGTTCTGTTCTTGAGAGCCCATCCAATACCTACTTTCAGAGATAGTCCGGACGCTGGTGCCGTAGATGACCTCCTTGAAGCCCGCCCATCTGATGGCGCTCAAACACATGGTGCATGGCTCCGCGTTGGTGTAGAGGCTCAACTGCTTCCATGCGGCGATGATCTCCTGCGGACTGAGTCCCTTCTTGCGCATCACGTTTGTACAATGTTGAATGGCGGTGATTTCGCCATGCTGCGTGGGATCGCCTGTCGATCCGACGCGGTTGGCAATCGCGCAGACCAGCTCGTTCGATGTCGTATTGACGATCGCCGTGCCAAACGGCGCTTGTGGGCACGGATGAGAGACGGGAGGGTAATAGATGGCCGAATTGGCAAGCCGCATCCAGCGATCGCGATCCGTCGCAGGAACCGAGTTGATCGACAGGCCAGACTGGAACTCGGGATGGAGACTTTCGCGGTATGCGCTTGCCTGAGCCGCCAAGGCCAAACTGGTAACGATCGAGGACAGCAGCATCGTGATGGACTGGACAGGAGGTGTTTGCAGAGAGTAGAACGACGAGTTGGTGGTCAGGAAGTAGATGTCGTGAACAAGCTTTGCCTAAGGAGAAGTCGTCCGCGCAACTGCCAGAGGGAAAGCTTACGGTAGTTGCCGGCGAGCTGAGTTGCCAAAAGATGTCGTGTGCTTGCCATGCATAGCATGCATGAGTGGGGCGGGATGTCAGCCGTCGCGGAAGGACTGGAAAATGCCGCGGTGAATCCGCGCTCCCCGCGCATTTTGTTATCTTATCACGCCGTGCTCCTCCATACATCTGCACTACTGGATTCGGCTTTCTGCGAACCCGTTGATTTGCACAGGTGCGACTCGAAGAGCAACACCCAGACGCTTCGTTCGACTGGGCGTTCGGATCAGTTGCCGCTGACCAGCCGTCGCTAGCCACGAGCACCTTGCTGAACATCTTGATAGCCAGCTCGAGGTTTCTCACCGCCTCCACCTCGGCCTCCTTTGACCTTGTAGCCAAGGCGCACGTTTGGTCCGGCACCGACTTGTGGCTCGCAGACTTAAAAAGACCTCTCTTTGGCCACGACTCTCTCACCCCCCTCATCATCCTAGTCTCTACAGACAGCACAAGAAATCATGGCGAGCTTCATTACCGACGACCAAAGCGCGGTGCCGTGCATCTCGCTGCACGATTTCACCGAACGTCGCGCCGAGATCATTGAGCAGCTCATGGACGCCAGCACGCGAATCGGATTCTTGTAAGCATCTTATCCCTCGACGTTACCAGCACAGCTGGGTTCTTGACTGACCGTCTCGGTCTTGCTTCGTGTTTGCCAGCACTCTGGAGAACCACGGCATCCCGGCGGAGCAGATCCAGGATGCGTTCGCGCTCTCGCAGCAGTTTTTCCCGCTGCCAGACGAGGTCAAGTCCAAGACGCCGCTCAACGGCAAGAATATGGGGTGGGAGAAGGGAGCTCAGATCCGGCCGTCGACGGGTACGGCTGATCAGAAGGAGTCGATGCAGCTGCAGTTTGCACGCATGCAAGGAATGTGGCCCTCGGACGACGACTTGCCGGGCTTCCGGGCAAGGGCGGAGAGCTTCATGTCGACCGTGCAGCAGCTTTCGGTTAAGGTGATGGAATGCTTCGCCGAAGGACTCGGTCTGCCTTTGGACACTTTCACCAATGGCACTGTTGACCCGGGAGTGGGTGATTCGCAGTCGACGTTGCGACTGCTGCATTATCACAGCGTCGAAGGCAAGGAGTTTGGCAACAACTTTTGGCGAGCTGGTAGCCATGCCGACTTTGATGTGCTCACCATGCTCTTCCAACGCGATGGCGAAGGAGGACTAGAGGTGTGCCCCGGAAGAGAGGTGGTGGGCGACTTTGGGCACGGTAACACATGGACCAACGTCGAAGCACGCAGCGACCGCATCGTGTGCAACATCGGAGACCAGCTCATGCGATGGTCCGACGACCGGCTCAAGTCGACGTTTCATCGCGTCCGACTGCCCAACAAGGGCGAACCCACGGGGCCACGATACTCGATGGCCTTCTTCAACCAGGCGCGCAGCGATGTTGTGATTCAAGGCCCCGAGAAGAAGTATCCGCCCATCACCGGCGCCGAGTTCATTCGGCAGGCGCTGGAGAGAAACAAGCTCGGTATGAGCGCGCAGTCATCTGCCGCGTCTGGTCGATCGGACAAGCAGCCTCACTCGGATGCTCACGATGCTGTAGCAGCTCCGCGCACTGTGAGCGTCAACTGAGCCAAGGCGCAACCTTTGTAGATTCGTAGGAATGAATGGCGAAGATGCGTTGGAATTGGATTGCTTTGCGACTTGATGAGGTGTGTCGACTGCAAGTAAGATGAAAGACTAGGTCGCCTGGCTCGAGACGACTACCAGTCGTCGTCAGAGCCCTCTTCGTCGGAATCGCCCATATTCTCCTTGCGTTGGCTGAGGGCAGCGGCGAGAGCGCTGGCAAGGTCGCCATCACCTCCGCCAGCGCCGGGCGAGTCTGCGCCGGATGAGGCGACGGCACCGCCTGCGACAGCGCCGGCGGCAGCGCCAACAGCCGCGGCTCTGCCGGGCGGCGGAGGCGCGGATGCGTCGGTCTTTTTGAGGTTGTGCACGCTTTTACCCTGGATGGAAGCGAGAAGCGCACCTCGACCGTCCTGAGGAGGCGGCATGGGCGCAGACGCGCCAGCGGGCGGAGGCGGGGGTGGAGGAGGTGGAGCGCCGCCTCCCATGGGCGGCGGGGGTGGTGGGGGCGGCGGGGCAC